TTGTAGGCAGAACTTTACAGGCAGAAACAGTGCAAATGAGGGCTTAACTTATTGTCTTATTAATTTCTAGACTCAAGAAAATGATGGACAAAAGATTAATAATGCAGTCTAAGCTTAGAAGGGTGTTGTGTATCCATTTCTTTTTTGGGAGGGCTAGTTGTAAAAATATTTACCAGCACACTCCTGGTTACAGCCATCCCCAAAATGTGCAAAGTATTAGGACCAACTTGCAGGCACCTAGAGATCTTCTAGTTGCTTAAGAGAAAATATGAATGACCAAGTTCCTGATAAATTAGGTAGGGCTTCCTCATTATGAAGGTAACTGCCTAGATCAGAGTTTATGGCTTGTTATTTTATAAAGCTATCCTCCTAATGTGAGACTCACCGAACAATGCTATGTTTTGCTAGTGTTGTCCCAAAATCTGTGTGCCAGTAACCACTGCTTCTGCCCAGGGACGGCAGAATTGAACAAACATTTAAATGCAAGGCCCTGTGACAGGCAAGGGGAATACAAGAACAAAACCAAGTCTTGCACTAAAGATCTTCTATCTTAATGGAGGTAGGAGGAAAGACACAAATACATTTATTATATATCTCAAGTAATTAAAGCCCCGTTTCTCTATGATGGGAGTTTTCAGGTTATCTTAGATGTTCTTTCACGTGGTCAAGTTTGTATCTTATACTGTAATATTAATAACAGAGGCTCACAGCATGTAACAGAGGCTCAGAAGTCAGCATGTGACAATGAAGTGAATTGGGTTTTTTCTCCCTCATGCTTTTTGGGGGATGTAATGTCATGTTTTATATTTTGCAAAGCAGTACTATTGTCAGCAAGTGTGATCAACAGGCCTTCCCATTTGTGTTGACTGCTGATCCCTAAGAATTTGGGGGCTTTCCCATCCAACCGCCTCCATTATGAATGGGATGTCCCAGTGAAGACTCCTCAGTGTAATTAAGGTTTGGGATAAGGCTGAGTGGGATGAGGGGTCCTGTGAAAACTTCTTAAAAGAATAAATACAAATTGTATTAGACTCAAGGCAGGCATAGCAGCCCGACAGGCCTAAGTTTTGATTTACTAGAAATCACCTGATTTACAGGAATTCAACCCTAAGTACCACCCCTACATGCCATTTTTCAGAAGTTAAAGTTTGCCAAGCCTGAAACTCCTGAAGAAACACCCCCCACCCCAGTATCTTGTCGGTCATGGTGACCTGGCTATACAGTACAGTGTCTAGCTTGACTGTACATCTTTAATTGCTTCTTTGGTATTACTTCAGCAAACTAAGGGGCTAAATACAGATTTCTTTGTTTTGTTTTTTGTTTCCATAACATTGCAAAACATTGGCCAGTTGGTGGGAGGGGGGGGACTTGCCCATTAGGACTATTTAATTTGGTTCTTAGCTCCTGTACTCTGTCTCCTTTCATCAGAACATACTGGTGGAGGGACACCCGAATCTCGAGATTTGAAATAATAATAATAAATTAACTTTCTGTTTCTCCTTGGATACCTCTGTTTTTTTAAATTTGAGTGGCACCCCACATAATTAGTTGTCTCTCCCATTGTCGTACCGAGAAATCAGCAAGTGAGACCCAGACGTAATTTAAAATGTGGATTTATTAGCACGCGGCTGCAAGGGGTATGCACACCCAAATCAAGCAGCCTCGATCAGGGGGTCGAGCTAGGGTTTATATGGAAAAGAGCATGGGAAAGAAATGCCAGGAACACTGATGAGGTAATCCAAAGGTGCAGGTGTCTTTGGGGGCTATGGATGGGAAAGTACAGGGAGTATACCGGACAGGGAAAGGGATGGATCTTTGGCGTCTGGCAGGAGGAAGAGTCCTTGAGCTGGCCAAGGACACCCCTCTCCCTCTGTCTTGATGAGAGAATACTCTGTAACAAGGGAAAGCTTTCTCACAACACAGGAACTTACTAAGGAATTGGGAGGCTTCCAGAGACATGATCTGAGGGCTGGGGCCTCAGCAGCCCAGCTCTGTGTAGCTATACCAGGGAGAGAGATAAGGGTCATGCTGAGGCCCATGAATAACTGCTAGGCACAGTGTCCTTGGGCTGGGGAGTGGTTGTCAGAGACAGTGTTTCTGAGACTAGGGAGAAATTGGGGCACAAGTACAAGCACAAGCACCCGAGCACCCCATCATTACGGGTCAGAGATCACACAAACTAGACCAGGTGTCCTGGTCCCTGGTATAAACATAATTATCTAAAGCAATTATATTGTAAGCTTTCTTATCCATTTGCGTTGGAGATATGGGCTATGCTGAGCTATGCAAGAGTACATTTCACTATTGTTTAGATTTAGGAGGAAAGAGGTCTGGGGCAAGATTAAGCAGTAATTTCTGCTTTCCATGACTTAAAGGGCCCTACTACCTAAATGGTAAAATAATGTTCTGCATTGCACCATTAGTGTATTAACTCCTTAGCATAGTGCTTGGTACATAGCGAGTGCTCAATGAGTACCTCTTCGTTTTCTTCATGATATGTTTGGGAAAATTTTTTCATTGTTTCTGACCATGATTCATGACTTTTGTATTCCTGTAACTGTCCTGTAGGGTTTAGGGCTATAATTATTTTTAAATGGTGTAACTGATGGAAATGTTAAGTGACTGGTAACTATCTTGGTATCTCTCCCAAAACTAGGTCTATCCCTTATATTTATTAGTCATATTTAAGTGTGCCTAATTCAGGAAGTTGAAAAGGTTAGCTTAAGCTAAACCCAGAAAACTGCAATTTACTTAATTCCTTAAGCCAGCAAATCTTAGGGTCAAGTGTTTGTTAGTAACAAATCACAACAAATGCTCACAAAAATTTATAGAATAGGGGGACAGCTAGGTGGTGAAGTGGATAGAGCACCAGCCCTGAAGTCAGGAGGACCTCAGTTCAAATCTGGCCTCAGACCAAATACTTACTAGCTGTGTGACATTGAGCAAGTCACTTAACCCCAACTGCCTAAAAAAAAAATAAAAAATTTATAGAATAATACAGCTGGAAGACTTTAAAGATTTCACATAGAAAGTGGGCTCAGGGAAATGTTTGCCAAGGTCACAGAGTAAGTTAATGACAAAGCCACAATCAATATTTTCACTATCACTTAGCCCAGTCCATTCTTTTACAACCAAGGAAACTGAAGTCCAGAGAGTAGTGCCTTGCCTTTGATCACTCAAGTACTCCTAAGCTCAATCCAAGGCTTTTACCAGGATATCCAGATATCTGATTGGTACAGGGAACACTGGTATTTGAGTGGTTAAATGACTTGCTCAGGGTCACTTGGTCAGTATGTGTCAAGAGGCAAGACGTGAACCCAGATTTTCTAGGTTTTGAAGCCAGTTCTTTATCCATCGTGCCGGACAGCCTCTTATAAAAATATAAAAAATAAATGCAAAATAACTTGGGGGTAAAACATTTAGCTGGAGAGGGGGAGGTAGGAAAGGCTTCAGTAGGAAGTGGCATTTGAGCTGAGCTACCATGCAAGCCAGGGATGTCAGATGACTAGAATTCCCTCCCAAGCCCCTGGCCCTGCCACTTACTACCTACCTAAGGCAGGTCACCAACACTCTCTGGGCCTCAGTTTGCTCTTCTACAAAGAAAAAAAAAAGTTGGACTAGATGTTCCCTAAGATCCAGTCGAATTCTGAAGCCTGTGAGACCTATACCTCAGGAAAAAAGTGATGACTCACCTAGACTTAACATGGACAGGCTAAGAAAGGCTGCTGTAGATGTCTCTCTCTAAGGGTGAAAGGACTGAACAATTTTAAAGAGCCTTCCTCACTACCACCAGGCAGGGGAAAGCAGCTATGGCACAGGGTTAGGGAAATAGAAAGTGGTACTTGAAACTAGACCTAATGACCCACTTCTGAACTTCACATGGCAAATACAGATGAGGGTCTGGGGCCTGTGAGTCAGATTCCCTTTGGGGCAAAGGGCCAAGATCTTGGCTTGGGCCCCGCCCCCCACACAGGCCCCAGACCCTCATCTATACCATATGACCTTGAACAAATCCCTTAAGGTCTCTCAGCCTCTGTTTCCTCATCAGTAAAATGAGAATACTACTGTTGAAGTTTAGGGGTGCTGGGACCCCAAAATCATGACACTCAGGTCCTGCCCAAAAGATTTCGCCCCAAGCCTTCTTTCAGCCAGAGACAAGGTTTATTAAAGATCCACCCTATTATCCAGATTCTTAAGGAATCTGAGCATCTGTGGCTATTGGATAGATTGTAAGAATCTGAGCACCTTAACAGAGACAAGATGGACCTTACATACAGAAAGACTATGGGAGGCATCTAGGAGCAGCCAACTAGTCTGTGGGGACTGTGAGGGTAACAGAACTGCCAGGGACCTGGACCAAGTGGCCAAGGGAAAAATGGAGCCTAGATAGGATTAATGGTGGGAAGTGGCCGGAGGCCGCAAGAAGGTAGGCAATGGAGGGCTAGGTTAGGTTAAGGGTAACACAGAACTGAGAGATTGGGTATAACCACAATGAAAGACCAGTTGATGGGATTATAGCCTCAGGGGACCGCCAGAGACCTCCTTAATCAAGTGGAAGAATTCAAAGAGAATCCCTTAGACAAATGAGACCCAAATTCTTTTTGGGGTAAGAGGCAAAGGCCTTGGCTTGGGCCCATACCCCATCTCTGATGATGGTGATGATGAGGTAGCAGCCAAAGAGAATGGCAGAACGGTTGGAGCACCCTTTGGGTTAGGAAAACTTGGGTTCAACTCCAGCATCTGGTAAGGGAATTTGTTCTGAGTAGTCTGAATTCATTCAAGGGGCCGAACCAAGGTTCCCCAGCCACCCTGAAACATAATGGGTAAGTACTTAAGTGCTGTGTAAGTGCACTTAACTTCCAGTCTCCTAAAGACTTTTAAATTGGGGATTAGCGGCCACTCTAATGCCTCGTTCCTTCCATAAAATGCCTTTACTATCCCCCCCCAATTGCTTCCCATTTACACTATATATATATATATATATATAAAATCACCTAGTTTATTTGCATGTAGCCTCTTCCTTTAGAACAGGAGCTCCTCCAGGAAAGGGACTGTGCTTTGGCATTTCTTTGTTCCCCATCACTTAGTACAATTCTGGGCACACAACAGGCGCTTAATAAATGCCAGTTGACTTACAAACCTAAGTTTCCACCCAGGGAGCTCCCCTAAAAATTCCTGGAGCACTTACTCTTGGGGTTGTCGTGAGGTTCAAAGGGATTCCATTTAAATAGAGAAAAAATAATTTAATGATGATTTTAAAGCCTCGTTTAATAAACCTCTACCAGCAGGGCCCATTATTCCCTACACAGGGTCAGAGAAGTGGCCAGATGACACTGGGGGGAGGGGCGAATCGGGGCATTTTTTTTTCCCGTCTCCCTCCGGGCCACACGGAGCCTGCAAACCTAGGCCAGAACCGGCCACCTTCCCCGGCTCCTGCTCTCACCACTCCTCCCTTCTCCCTTCCACCCCCTCCGCCCGTGTGGACTGCTGACTTCCGGTAGCGCGGCACCCACCAACCAGCAGCTGGGTCGGCCGGGACGCCAGCACGGAGCACGCGCGCACCGATTCGAATCCTGCACGGCCCCCGCCGCCTCTTTCTCACTCCCCCCCGCCCGCAGACACCTGCGCGAGCGCAGAATCCTCCCAGGGCCAGACTGCAGGCTGCGTGCCCACGCCGGGCTCCTCGCGCGCGCTGCTGCTCCCCACGCCCTCTCACGGTTCCCCCCTCCCCCACCGCGCCCGGGCCCTTATCTCCAGCCTGCCCCTCCCCCCGACGCCCGGCTCCGGCCGCATCCCGCCGCTTTTGGGAGCAGGGCCTGCCTCAGGCCCGGCCTAGCGGGCTCATGGCCAAGAGGCGCGCGGCGGAGCCGTTGGCGTTCCACGTGCCCTGGAAGCGGCTTCCGCCCTGCGGCCGCCTGGACGAGCCCGAGCCGCTGTGGGCGCCGCCGGGGCTCGGGCCGCGGCTGCCGCTGAACGGCTCCGACCTGCGCCGCAAACGGAAGCGGGAGGACGGGACCATGACGGAGCTCCTGGCCTCGCCCAGCAAGCGCTCTGGCGAGGCCGCGGTCCCCGGCGGCCCTGCCCCCGGGGACGGGGTCCGCATGGACACCGGGGAGCCCAAGCCGCCGGCCGAGCTCCGCTGCCCCGCGGAGGAGCCCGGGCCCCGCGCCCCGGAGCCCGAGCGGGGCGCCGGAGAGGAGGTTCCGCGGCCCAGGGGCGCCAGCCCCCAAGAGGAGCAGGTAGGTCAGGGCTGGGGCCCCGGGCGCCTCGGCCCGCGCGCTCCCGCCTCCTTCTTGGGCCGGCCCTCCCAGGGTGCGGGAGGCGTTCCTCGGCCGGGGCGTGAGATCGCGGCGGCCCCGCGCCTCGGCGCATGCTCAGTTTGGGATCCGGTTGTCCTCCGGGAGGACGAGTGATTCCGGACATCCTCCTATGAGGAGCCGAGCTTTCTTTGAGCAGGGGCGCCCCTGCTGCTCAGGACAGCTGGGGAAGGATCCCCGGACCCTAACTTGGGACCTGAAAGAAGACTTAAAGGTGGTCTGTTCCGTCGTTCCCATTTTACAGATGAGGAAACAGGCCCAGGGAGGTTAAAAGTATCTTGCCCAAGGTCCCACAGGTAGTGGCAGAGCCAGAATTGGTACCGGGGCCTCTGACTCCAAATCCGATCATTATTCAAGCTGAATCCGTAAGCTTTTCTTCTAGCTAATGTGATTACCGGCCAGTGGTTAATAATAGCTCACGTTTATATTTAGTTCAAAAAAAGTGTGCTGAGTGCTAGACACTAGTAGGTAAAGGAAACTGCCCCTGCCCTCAAGGAACTTACACGCTGCCAGTGCCCAATAGTCCTAATAGATTTATGAAGTGCTCTCTTTACAACAACCTGGCGAAATAGGTAGTGCAAATATTAGCCTCCTTTGACAAATGGCTACGTGCTCCGTAGTTAAATAGTATTAAGTGAGTGAGTCAGGATTACAATCCCCAAGTCTACTGGCTTTCCATTACATTTTGGAACCCTGTTGAATTAAAACCTGAAGGATTTCCACACAGGATGGATGGGAAGAAAAATTGAAAACACAGAGTTGGATAAATGTAAAATATCTTTCAAAGGACAGACTAGCAGTCTGGGTAAAAACTAAGAATAAAATATAATAAGCTAAAGCAAGAAGAAATGATTTTTAATGTTGGTGATACAAATTAGGCAGATTTACTTCTAGATGGACTCTTTGCTTGAAGATGGGTAGCAAAATGTCGTTGGTCTCCAGTGAAGGCCTAATATTAACTTCTAGCATTAAGCTGCTAACAACCCCTTGGCAAGGCCCACCAGCACTGAGCACACGTGGACAAATTCAAACTTGGCTGAATGGTTTAAAAAAATTTTTTTTGCATGCCTAAAAGGTAAACCTTCACCACTGGATCCTGGTGACAGCCACATACTCTGTAATCTATCTTCCAGAGCAAATAAAACCGTATTGCCAGGGAAGGATAGGACCCCATAAAAAGAAAACTTTCAGGTGTTGGTGGTGTGTACAGTTTTAAACTCTGAGTGTTGTTTTCAGTTAGTGAACTAGCATTTATTAAGTGCTTACTATGTGCTAGGCATAGAAAATGCAGAGACAAAAATGAAAGTCTTAGCCGTCAAGGAACCTACATTCTGTTGTAGAGTTAAGATGTGTGCATATACACACACACACACACACACACACACACACACACATATTCTCAAGTATGTTTCATAGTAAAATTCAAGTAGACAGTGAATTTGAATAAAGCAGAAATGTTTTTACTTTTTATTACTAAGTAAATACCTTTACTTAGATATAAATGTGTGTATATGTACACACACAGACATTTATACACACATACAGATATATTCATATATGTATGTGTATATGTACAAAGTACAATATATTGGGAAGCAGGCAGTAGCAGCTGAGGGAATCTAGAGAGGCCTCATGTAAAAAACATGATACTTGAGCTAAATTTTGAAGGAAACCGAGGATTCCAAAAGGTAGAGTTAAGGAGGGAGTGTGTTCCGGGAATGAGGGAAAGCTATTCAAAGTCACAGAGACAGGAAGTAGAGTGTTGTGTATGTGAGGTCCAGCAAAAAGGTCAGTCTGGTTTTTAGTCATGAGTTCAGGAAGGAGAGTAGTGTATAACAAAACTGGAAAGGTATGTCTTGAAGAGCTTGAAAATTGGAAAGGTATAATAACAATTCACATTGATATACATTTTAAGGTTTGCAAAACGCTTTGTATGCATTTTCTTATTTGATCCTCACAACAGTCCTGTGAGATACATCAGGGCTAAGTTGTAAAGGGCTTTAGAATCCAGACAGAGGAGTTTCTGTTTGATCTTAAAGGCAGTAGGTAGCCAGTGGAGTTTGAGGAGAGGGGGGTGACATAGTCAGACCTGTGCTTCAGGGAAGTCAACTTAGCAGCTATGTGGCCTTTTTGTCCTCATATCAAATCCATATGATAAGTTTAAATTAAATGTTTTATTAAGGAAAAAAAATCAGTTCTCTCAGTAACAATAAATGATCAGGAAAGAACCTACGGCCGAATGTTTGTTATCCATGTGAGCATAAGAACTGTAGGACCTACTGCTCAAGTATGTTTCATAGTGAAGTTCAAGTAGAGAGTGAATTTGAATAAAGCAAGAATGTTTGATTCCCTTTATTTTTCAACCAGGTCAAATCTATTTCTAGTCAAACCAGTTTCGTGTGAGGTGGATTCTAAAGGTCTCTCTTCTCTCTGTTTTTTTGTTTAAATTATTTTTTCATTTATTTTTACAGGTATTTGTTATCTCTCCCTCCCACCCTTTTACACTCCCCACTGAACAATTAGAAAAGAAAAATGAAACCCTCGTGACAAATGTGCATAGGCCAGCAAAACAAATGCCTGCATTGGCTATGTTCAAAAAAATGTACATTTTGCTTATTAAGTCCAGCACCTCTCTGGCTGAGGGTAGGTGGAATATTTCATCTTCAGTTCCCTGGACTTGTGGGTCAGAGTTCTAAAGTCATTCACAGTTGATTTTCTTGTTAATGTTATCATTGCTACAAATTTTCTTCTAGTTCTGTTCACTTCACTCTGCATCCATTCGTAGAGGTTTTCCCAGTTGCCTTTAAAGCTGCCCATTTCATAATTTCTTAATGGAACAATAATATTCCATCACATTCATATACAATAACTTTTTAGTAGTCCTGCAATAGGTGGGAACCCTTATAGTTTCCAGTTTGGGGCTGCCACAGAAAGAGCTGCTATAAATACTTTTTTATATATAGCTCTTTTCCCTCTTTCATCTCTTTGAGTTATGGGCCTAGCAATAATGGAATAACTGACCACAGGGTATCCACAACTTTGGAGAAAGGTGAATTTAGAAAATTTCTCACTAAAAAAGTTTTTACTCCTGTCATTTAAACTATAGAAGTTGCTGTTTTGGACTGTTTTCTTACAGTTATTAAGTAGACCAAATATCATTAGTTTATTGATAGTCCCAGTCTTTCATTTTTATCTTCCTTACAGATTTACATTAATTACTTCAGCTCCATTCCTTGATTAAACCATCATATCTGCTGTTGGAAAAAATAAGAAATCTCATTTTTAGTAGAATAAATAGGAACATGGTAAATTAAGTCACCCATAATTTTTCTGAACTGTATAAACTTATCAAGTCTTTTTATTCCTTTGAGCAAATTTGTTATTAATAGCTTTCTGTAAAGTTATATATGTGTATTTCTATGTAGCTGTGTTAAGAAAAAGTTATAAAGGGGAGATGGAGGAGTAGGCAGAGACAAGTTTTCTCTAATATGCTAATTCAAGTGAAACCTGCCTAGAAGATTTCCTTTGGATTAAGGATGTACTTTGTCTAACATGAATATTGGCTTGTGTAGAGTAAAACTGAAGTTAAGTCAAAAGACTTCATTTTAGGTGTGCCACCTATGCTGTGTGACTTTGGGCTAGTCATTTAATCCTATCTGAGACAGTTTTCTTGTCTGTAAAATGAATATAAGAATGCTTCTCACCACTTACTTGGCCACTACCCTAATTCAACCTTTGCTTGCTTAGAATATTGGAGTAATCTCCTAATTGGTCTCTCCACCTCAAGTCTCTCCCATCTCATGCACCTGCCAAAGTGATGGGAATTACTAAAGCACTGCTCTGCCCATGTCAACATCATCACTACCACCACCACTCCTGGTTGTGATAAGCACTCGCTTTGTTTCTGGCACTTAATTGATTGTTTTTTACCCTATTTTTGGCCTCTTCCATCTATGTAGCTACTGTTAGTATTACTGGGTCAAAAGATACATATAATTTAGTTCAGTATTTTTTGAAGGCTGTTCATGTTCTATTCCACTCCATTCTCTTCTACCTGTACACATTCTCTTGTTGATCTCATTAGCTTCCTTGGGTTTAGCTATAATCTTTGTGAAGACAGCTCACAGAACTAATCTAACCCTCAAATCTGCTGAGCTCTGGTTTGTCATTATCAGTTGCCTTTTGGACATCTCTGCCTAGGTATCCCAAAAGCATCTCTTAAGCTAAAGACAACAAAACAGAACTCATTATATTTTCCCCCAAACCTACCCGTCCTTTCACCTTTCTTACTCTTTATTGATGTCACTACTCTTCTTCCAGTCATCTGGCTCATCCTTAATTCTTTACTTTCTCTCATCCCTCTACATTGTCAGTTGCTTAGTCGTAGAATCATCTTGATTTTACTCTTGTCCCTGTGGCAAGATGTAAATCCCAAATGAGAACATAAGAAATGAAGACTCATAGATTGGTGTCATTTTATCATGATCACACAGTGTAAAAGGGAGCAAAACCAGGCTCACTGCATAAGTCAGTGTCTGCCCAAAAGAAGAGAGTGCATCACCGGCCACCCTTGTTCACAGTTCCCTCAGCTCCCATTCCCAGTTTAGCTGGAATAGAGAACACATGAAGGAAGACTAGAGTCAAATAAGATAAGAAAGGTAATAGCCAGTTTGAGGTGCTGTTCCCCAGGTGGCTCAGTGGATAGCATGCCAGGCCTAAAATCAGGAAGACTCATCTTCATGAGTTCAAATTTGGCCTCAGACATTTCCAAGCTGTGTGACCCTGGGCAAGTCACTTAACTCTGTTTCCCTCAGTTCCTCATCTTAAATGAGCTGGAGAAAGACATGGCAAACCACTCCATTATCTTTGCCAAGAAAAGCAAACCCCAAATGAGGTCACAAAGAGTCAGACATGATTGAAACAACTGAACAACAGGCCCATTGACATTGGCCAATGTTTAAAACATGTTTAAAATGTCATTTGGAATTGCCTTTTGAGAAAGGTTATATAAACTACATAGGACAATGTTCTGTTACTTTGTAGTCACAATTTTGTTGTCTAATTATTTGACCAGATACACTGTTACATGCTTTATTCATCAGGTTTAGTTCAGAATACCTTTTGACTGTTTCCAGAAATCAAATACATCATCAGAAACTGAGAATGTGCTAAGACTCTGAAGATAATTCCAAAAAACATTTTAAAAAATACTGTATTTAAGGAGTTTCCTTGAAATAAATTTATAGCCCACCATCAAAGTGACTGTTATGGCTATTACTTAAATTGTGTGTGTTTTAATTCGACTGCAAATAAATATCCTACTTAAAAAGGTGTGTTGTGCTTATGTTTTTATAGATATTTAATTTCTTCATCAACGGGTGAAAAATTCCATTCTTGTGCTGTAGATATAAGATTATTTTTCAAGATAGAACAGGAGAGAATGGCAGAAAATAGTTGTCAAGGAAAAGATTCTGTGTCACAGACCTTTCTCAGCTCCTAGTAATAAGTAATAGTTTTAAAAACCTATAAATATTAAAGTACTGTAAATTAAAATATGCAAGTATATAATGAAATGTGTTTTGAAGGTGGTATTTTAGGTATGTATATTTATCTTTGAAATTCTAAAATAAAAGTTGAAGCCTTTTTTTGTTTCCCTCTTAAAATAAAAGGAAAAATTGTTTCTCTTAGTGACATATCTTTCATGTAAAGCATGGACTGATTGTGGTTTGTTTTTACCCCTAACAGCTCATTGAAGAATTTTGGCAATATAATACATTCCAGTACTGGAGAAATCCTTTACCTTCCATTGATCTGTCAGAAATTGAAAAACTAACTGAAGCAACTCTTACCAGCAAGGATGAAGGTGTTGAAATTGACATGGAATCTTGACCTATGGATCTGCTACAGCGGAATAATGGTGATAGGTTTCATATAATGATACTCATCTTTAGCTGAATCTACCTGCTTCTCTTCAGAAAAACAGATGTTTCAGATATTTTGAGGTATAACCTCCATCTGGAAAAAATGAGGGAAGTACTTTTTACAGAAAAATGCTCAGACTGTTGTTATGTCTGACAGGGATTTTTCATGGGTAGTCAAGGACAAAGTATAGTTATAACAAGTATTTTAAAACATGGTTGCTTGAGGAAGAAAATATGTTCAGACTTTAAATCTGAGTTCATCTCTAACCAGTTTAGAAGTTCTGGCACTATTAGAGGTGACTGAGAAGTGTTTGAATATTAAACCAAAAAAAGGTTTAGTTGTGGTGCATGAAATTAAGACATTTTATAACAAATGCTGGTGATAGTAAATAATATATTAATACATTTTGTTGCCTGTGTTCTTAGTTGAACCAAAAAGCTGTCATAACATCTATGCAAGCTAGAAAGGTGAATGTCAGGGTGTTCTCTCTCTTTCTGAGAACTAATGATGTCTTTAAAGAACACTTTCCTTATGCTGTGTAATGTAAAGTAGTGGACATTTCAGTAAGCACTCTGCATTTGTGCTTGTACAGCTATCAATGTAATTTGACTTATGTTGAGTTGTGCCAAAATGTCCAATCAGAGATGGAGACGGAGCTGTGGGAAATGATGAGGGGCTCCTTTTCCCCATGGATTAAGGGGAAAGAAATTTTATCACACAATCAGTTTGGTTGGTTTAGTTATTTTTTTTTTTTAAATAATGAAGTTTTTTCTTTTTAAAATTATAAGAAACTTGTCATAGCTGGACCAATGTATAATGCTTTGGCTTTATCATCTTAGGATGTATCATGACCAAGTTTTAAAGTTTGTTTATTATTACTGTTGCATTATGGTAAGCTTTATAAAGCCTTGCTAAAGAAAAATAAAGTTTCTGTTGTGTATTTGTTATATAAGTGTCAATGATTAAGTTAACATTTATATAGCTGTTAGATTGTCATCTTTGTAATTATGTAACTTGTTCTTATTTTTTTCTGTACATTAGATACAGAAATATCCTAATTCTGTTAAGGAAAATCTGGTGTCTTATAAGCTCTGAGAGTTAACAATAGATTGATGGTAAGAGACTAGCTAAACAGGAAGGATTTTGGTGCATTTACATGAATTTCAAATTTTTCTGTGTGTTTATTTTATTGGTCCCTTTTACAAAGTGAATTTACCGATTTGGGTATTGCTAGAAATATTTTTGGACAATTTGATTTCCTATACTTTCATAAACCTTTTCTATGTGAAAAGAATGTACTCTAAGATGTGAGCATCATATATGCGTATGTGTATGTGTGTGTATATGTATGTATATATGAGCATTGTATATATATATGATACATGTAGATATGATCATCACATATAGATAGTTTCTTTTCAAAGGCCTTCAAGTAGTTTTAGCTTTACTTTATCAGTTTTTACATCAGAGGGTTTACCTGATTCCAGCTAGTACTGACAGTTGATACCAGGATTCTAAAGATGATGTGATTCATATTTACTAGATTTTAAGATTTTAAAAGTTCCTTGCACACTACAAACCTGTGAGGTAGGTAGAATAGAATGTCGGAGGACTTTGTGCAGGTATATGGACCCATTCATTGGTTCAGATCAAGATGGAACATAATGCTAATGCAGATGTTGGAGTGAAGGTTGTTGACATATCAGGGCCCTTGTAGGTCATCATATACCTGAAAGGAATACCTCTTTCCTACATACCCAGCAAGTGGTCATTTGTTCTCTGCTGGAAGACTCAAAAGAGAAGCCAACACTTCCTGAGAAAGTCCATTCCGCTTTGGCACAAAGGTGTACCTGATGCCCAGCCTAAATTGGCTTTTTTGCAACTTCTACTCATTGCTCCTGGGTCTAGTCCCTTTTCCCCTGGGTAGCCCTTTAGTGACTTGAAGGAAACTGTCATTTATTAAGTGCCTACTATGTGCCAGGTACTGTTTTGCACTTTACAAATATCTCATGTGATCCTCACAACAACCTGTGAGGTCGGTGCTGTATTATCTCCATTTTATAGTTGAGCCACCGAGGCAGACAGCAGTTAAGTGACTTGCCCATGGGCACACACCTAAGTGAGGCTGGATTTGAACTCAGTGCTCCCGACTCTAGGGCCAGTACTCTATCCATTGTAACACCTAGCTGTCAACTCCATCTCTCCTCCTCCTCCTCGTTTCTAGGCCATATACCTAGTTCCTTCAACTGATCCTCATGTGACAAAAGATGATATACATTTAGCATTATTGAAATCTTATCTGATGGTATCAGAGGTTCCAAGATAATGGAACAAAGATGGATCTTAGGGTTCCATCTGAATGTATTGTTAGCTGTTCCAAATCAGTTCTGTAAGAAGACAGACTCCGGAATCTTTAATTCTCTCTTTTTTTTTCTGGAATCTTTAATTCTTGACAAAGCCATGTGTCCAACTTCTGCTAGTCTAACTTGGGGTTAGATATGAGCAGATCTTGACAAAAATGAGTTTACTGTAAGCCTTTCTAGGCTTCAAAATTTGATAGTAATAATAAGAGTGTATATTCAATATTTTATCGTTAGTTCATAATAAACTCAGTTCCAAAGGGAAAAAGGGCTTCAGTTGATATCTAAATCCTCATAGGTAGTGATCATTATAAACCTTTAAAAGGAACAGTAATTGCAAAATTAAATTGTGTTTGGTCAATTGGGAAAAGCATTGAAATTATTCTCATGATATGGTGTTGAGTAAGTTATTTAACATCTCTAAGCCTTAGTTTTCTTATGTTTAAAATTTGGGCATTGGGCTGGTTGATTGCTATAAAGTCCATTTTAGCTCTAACATTCTGTCACTATCAGTTATTAAAAAAAACCCCAAAAGCCTTTCAGCTTGTGACCTAGATAAACATCAGATTATATCTTTGATTTTAGCTTTGCTAATCATATGGACAAACTTATGGTAAGTGTTTGAATGCATGTGATTCCTGTATAAATATAGGATGCATTTTTTCCCCCAAGTTTTACATATATAAAGCTGGAGTTCAACCTATATTCATTATTTCTTTTCAGCATACCTCTGTATATGAGATTTCAAAGAGGTCTCTATTTTATGGGCATCTTGTATTTGAACCAATATGGTATTAAGTGCCTGCTTTGTACAAAGAATTATCAGTTGGGTGCTAAACAAAGATAAATAGTGTATTTCCTGTCCTCTGCCGCTTAGAACCCAGTAGGAGATATAGCATTTACATAAGTAACTTGAATACAAAATAAAATATCATAAGCAAATGAGAAGTATTTGAGCATAAAAGAGGTACAAAGTCTTATAACTTGGGAGGTTTGAGAAGGATGAGCTTACCAATCAAGAAAAAAGTGGAAGAGTTCCTATATGAGCTGAACCTTGAAGGTTAGGATTTCAACAGGTGAAGATGGTGGGATACCTGTAAGTGTGTAAATAAGCTGACCGCAGACACAGGCAAGACAAATTAGCAGAATGGTAAGCTGTCTAGTTTGTCTAGGACATAGGAATTATGAAGAGAAAAATACTTTAGTGAAAGTAGTTTAGGCTACTATTTCATTAAACCTCATATTTTTATATAAAATATATCTAAAGTAATAATGACCATAATATTCCCCTAGTTGAGATATCAATCAATATTAGGTGCATACTATATGAAAAGACATACTAAACTATAAGAATACCAAGAGAAGGTAAAAACAATCCCTGCCCTCAGGGAACTTGCATTCAAAAGGTGAAGACAATATGTAGTTACATATAAAATATAAAGTAGATGAAAGATAGAAGATTGGAGTAACCAGTCTACAAATTAAGCAAGTAAGGCCCAGAGATACCTATGCCATTCATACAAGGAAGTCAGTAACACCATTTGAATGTCAGATTATCTGACTTCTGTTTCTATATTTTAATTTAGAGATGAAACTCCTTGCAGATGGTATTGTTTCATTCTTTGTAATTGTGTCCCTAGTGCCTAGCACAATGCCTGGCATATAATGATGTTATAAATACTTATTAATAATTATTTTCCTTTTCTGGGTTGGCCAAAAACTTTTTTTCAGATACATTTTCCCAAAATGCTAATAGATATCTAATCTAGGAAAATAGATCTAGACTAGTAAAAGTTGTTTTAAAGGTACCCTTCAGATTCTAGCATGGGGGTTCTTAACCCTTTTCATGTGTCATGGACTCCTTTGGCAGTCTAGGGAAGCCTTTGGACCCCTGCTCAAAACTGTTTCAACTGTGAAAAACAAGATAACATAAGACTGCAAAGGAAATCAATTCTATTGAAATAGTTATCAAAAAAGATATTTTTTAAAAGTTCATTAACCCCAGGTTAAGAACCTGTGTTCTATAAAGATAGATGAATTATTTAAAAAAACAAATGACTTGATTAGAGAAATGCAAATTAAAACAACTCTGAGGCGTCATCTCACACCTATCAGATTGCCTAATATGACAAAAAAAATTATAAATGTTGGAGATGTGGTAATATTGGAACAGTAATGCACTGTTGGTGGAGTTGTGAACTGATCTAACTATTCTGGGGAGCAGTTAGGAAGTATTCCCAAAGGGCTATAAAACTGGTCATACCCTTTGGGTCAGCAATATCACTACTAGGTCTGTATCCCAAAGAGATCATAAAAAAGGTAAAAGGATCCATATGTACAAAAATCTTTATAGTAGCTATTTTGTGGTGGCAAAGAATTGGAAACTGAGGGGATACCCATCAATTGGGAAATGGCTGAACAAGTTATGGTATATGAATGCAATGGAATACTACTGTGCTATAAGAAATGATGAGCAGGCAGACTTCAGAAAAACCTGGAACGACTTGTATGGACTAAAGCTGAGTGAAGTGAGCAGAACCAGGAGAACCTCGTACACAGTAATGGCCACATTGTGTGATGACTGACTGATAGCCTTGGCTTTTCTCAGCAATACAAGGATCTAAGACAACTCCAAAAGACTCATGATGGAAAATGTTATCCACATCCAGAGAAAGGACTATGGAGTCTGAATGCAGATTAAAGCTTGCTATTTGGTCTCTTTTTTTTTTTTCGTTCTTTCTCATGGTTCCTCCCATTTGTTCTAATTCTTCTTTACAACATGACTAATGTGAAAATAGGTTTAATAAGAATGTATATGTAGAGCCTATATCAGATTGCATGCTGTCTTGGGGAGGGAGAAGGAGAAAACTTAAAACTCAAAAGCTTATGGAAGTGAATGTTGAAAACTAAAAATAATTAAAGCAAAAAAAGCCCCAGTGTTCTAGCATGATTTTATATATATGTGTATGGACAGAATATAGTAAGGATCCTTTGAAGAGAATTTATTTCAACAGATATTAATCACTTACTGTATGTAAAGCACTGTTAGGTGCTGCTTCAGATGTCTCCCACTACATTCTATCTTCATATAGCTGACAAAGTGATTTTCCTAAGGTGCCATTCAGACCATGTCACTTTCCTACTCAACTCCAGTGTCTCATTGCCTGTAGGATAAAAATAACTCCTCTTGGCATTTCACACATGATATGTGTGTTTTAGTCATAAAATAAATATGAATTTCTTGATATAAAAGAAAACAAATTAACCTTTAAGTTTCTTGCAGATAATCAGCTAAGAAAAATTATAATCCTAATTTCTAGACTACTAAGTTAGACAGCAAATCACCTGGCTCCCATCTCAAGCTTGCAAACTGATTTCCTGGAATGTTTCACAAGATCCTCCGGGCTTCAGTTTCTTCCTTCGTAAAATGGGGCAAATACTTTTCTCTGTTTGAATAAGAGGAAGGTTGTCTAAGATTATTGTCTCAGATAGTTTAAATATGACTAAGATGTTTTAGTGAAATGATCCTTTTTAATAAAGTGTGTCAGGATATTAGGAAAGACCTTGTTTTTCAGAGCGAAGGCCCA